ATTGGACATCTGAACAAACTCAAATAAATTAGGAAACAAACTCTTCAAAGACCGAAAGGATAAATGACCCAACCGATTATACCAAAGCATAACCTAACTAACAGGTTGAGAAACAAAAGACTTTCTATCTTCACTATCTTCCCAATGAGAATTCTCTCCAAGTAAATAGATCCCATTCGTCTCATGGCCAGTCCCAATCACCTTCCTTGTCTCCAAGTCCTGAAAAACACATCGGTTAGGGAAAAAAGTTATTGAACAATTCTGATGTTTTGTAATGCTACTGACCGAAAGCAAGTTAGTATTAAGCTTCGGAACATGTTGAACTAAAGATAAGGAAATGGTATTAGACAAGTTGATGTCTCCCTTGCTAGAAATGAGAACAAGGGAACCATCAGCAATGGACACTTTATCTTTGCCAGAAGATAAGTGATAGGTAGTGAACAGTGATGGCAAGCCAGTCATATGGTCAGATGCACCTGAGCCTATTACTCAACAATGTTCAGTGTTACCTGGAGCTGAAGCATGATAAGTTGAGGCCCGAGTACCTGAATGAGCTCAAGCTGATGTGGGAGGAGCTGATGGCGGCTGAGATGATTGAGCTGAATTGCCAACTTCCTTTTCCAACTGAGTCAGGGCAGTCCAAACATCAGCTAGGGTGTCTAGAGGTGTGTCTTTTGTGCCCGATGAGGATGCACAATCAGTATTAACAGCCATATTAGTATTACCCCTTTTGTTCCCGAGCTTTGTTGGAACTAGATGAGGGTGCAACTTCCAACATGTGTCTTTAGTATTCTTAGGTTTCTTGCAATGTTCACACACTAGATCCCGCTTGTCTTCCTTCTTTATATCCCTTTCCATATCACCCCCAGACGTAGGTTTAACTGCTGCCAAGGCTGGTGGGAAGGGCCGATGCTGCATCATAACCTTTCTCCTAGTCTCTTCACTATGCACTAAGGAGTAGGCTTGAGCTAGGGTTACACTGTCCCTTGTTAGTAGTTGCTGTCTCACAATATCATAGTTAGGATTCAGACCAGTTAGGAACTCAAAAACCTTATTAGTTTCAACTTGCTTTCTATGAGTCTGTGCATCCTTCAGACTTTCCCACTCAAGTGTTTCTAGGTGGTCAATTTCATGCCACAGAGATTTCAAGGTAGAGAAGTAAACCGAGACTGGTTTCTCTCCTTGCTTAAGGTTGTTAACCTCACACTTCAATTCATAATCCCTAGCAACATTAAGGGGTTGGGAGTAAGTCTCCTTCATGACATCCCAGATTTCCTTGGCTGTTTTTGCCCACAAATAGTTCCGGCTGATATGTGGCTGCATAGAGTTGCACAACCATGTCATAACCAAATAGTTCTCTTGAATCCATTTGGTATAAGCTTGGTCCTCCTTAGTTGGTTCTTTTACATCTCCCAACAAGTAGCTCAGTTTTCCTCTACCCCCAATGGCCATCATGGCCGATTGAGCCCATTTTAAAGTAGTTTGATCCATCAAACTTCACAGTTGTAATCTGAAAGGCATTCTCAGACATGTTATCAGAATTGTTAGTCCCAAAAACACCTTCCCCCTGATTCTTGAACTCCATTCTTGATCAAGAATTAATAAAAAAACTTTTTTTAACTACTGTAATAGAAAAACAGCACCCAAACAACTAATAACAGCCAACCTAAGTCTTCCAAAGAACAAAGAAAATAGAGTTCTGAATGAAACCAATTCAAAATCTGATATGAAACCAACAACTCTGAATTTTAGGGTCTTCTCTCAAAACCCTAAAGAAAAAAATACAGATTTTCCAGCCGCACCTCTCAGAATAAACCAAGATGATTTTTTTTCAAAGTTATTCTCAAGAAAAAAGCTTACTTTATGAAAAAAAATCTCTGCCGCCAGGCCCGCCACCTTCTGTCTGATGCAAAGCCATAATCTTGAGGATTTGAAGCCTTTTCTGATTCTTCCTGACTATTGGAACTCTCCCAGCCTTCTACAGTCTTCTTAGTAGCACTCGCACACTACCAATAACCTCCAAGAATCAGTCGATCCTCCTTCTTTGTTGAAAAACTTCTAACCCTAGGAGATTCTCATGTAGTCAATCTAATTAGACTAACATAAGAGCTCCTAGGTCGGCTCTGATACCAAGTAGTTGATCAAGACTACAATTAGTCTTGATTTCAAAGAAAAAGAATGAAGAAATTGAAGAAGAGATGAAGAAGAGAGGAGAGAAGAGAAGAAGCACACAAGGAGATCTTGGAAAAGAGAGGGTTGGTCTTGACATCAGCCGACCCACTCTTGATATTTGTATATGTTGACTAATTGTAAAAGGGCTGAATTGCCCTTATTGCTTACATGGCAAATAAACTAATAATAAAGCTGAAATAACTACCAACTAACACCGACATAACTAACAAAAATATGCTGCCATATGAACACAGTGTTACCACATCAGTGTTCTCTACATCTTGGTCCCACCTATCATTAGGGGTGCAAGTGGGGCAGGGTTTATGGTCAACCCAGGCCCGACCCTAAAATTTGGGCTTAAGGCCCGAGGTCAAACCCGATTTTCCCAACCCGAGCCCAACCCGCCTTGTAATTTGATGCACTTGGGTTGGGCTTGGTCCCGGACCGGGCTCGGTTTGGTCAATGAACCCACTCTAAAATTATACATATATAAATGTATTTATGTGAATATATACACATATATTTATGTATGTATGTAAATATGTATGCAAAATTTCTATACAAATGTTATATATACAAATATGTGTGTATATATATGTAAATATGTATGCAACATTTACATATATACACATATATATATGTATAAATGTATATAATTGGGCCGAGCTCGGGCTACCTAAGGGCTAGGCCCGAGCCTGGCCCGAAAAATAAAAAAACTTGATTTCTTGGGCCGATCCCAGCCCGAGGACAGAAAATCCAAGCCCAGCCCGTGTAAAATTCCAGGTTGGGCCGGTTCGGGCTCGGGCTGGGCCCGCCCAAGTTGCACCCCTACATATCATGTTCAGCTGTCCCACTCTTGGGTTCTTTCACTCTTCCATTTATGTAACCAACTTTTTCCCTTGCTGTTGCATAAAGTTTTACACCTTTAGCCCACTCCAGGTAGTTCAGGCCGCTTAAAAGGGTAATTGGCACAGGAAAACATCATATTTTCAACTCCCATACCAGCTGTACTACGGGTTGATGTAACCCCAGATGAGGTAGAATCATCATTTGCCATTGAGAGGAACAGAGTCTACAAAACAAAACCCAAACCACAGGTGCATAAGATCAGTCCCCACTCAACTATTACCTCTCACAGTCACAATTAGGGCACTAAACACTAAAAATTCTGCTTCTGAAATAAAGAACAATCTGCTGAAAACCACTGCTAGCAACTAAACAGTCCAGAAATAAAGAAAAACACTGCTGAAATACACTGGCAGCAACTAAACAGTCCAGCAACAGTCTAGAAATTTAAATTTCAGTCACCATTGGACTACACACTACAGACACCAACCCATCACAGCACATACTTGCGACAAAAGGGGATCACACACCCTTGTATGAAGGTGCAAATCCAAGACCAAGTCTTCATAGCATTGGCCAAAGGAAAAAAGAGTCTTCACAGCATCGACCCCCTCCTACTAGGGTTACCTTGGTGCTATGACCATGGAAGAACCCGGAAGAAACAACTACAGGTGGTTCTGATCAATCCGATTAGGGTTTCTTGCTTTCACTGACCAAGAAATCAGAAAACTGGGTGGAGTAAATGTGATTCAGAGGAGAAAAGACACTCCTATCGCCCAGAGTTGCGCTCTGAGACCATGTTTTCTTTCTAGAAGAGAGAGAGGAGAGAGAGGGGAGGAGAGAAGAGAGAAGAGAAGAGGAGAGGAAGAAAAGTGTTTGAGAGTCAAAAAGGTTGGGCTGGCGGCGCCCAGCTTCTTATTTATAATAACATGATGTAAATAAAAGAAAAGAAAATTACAATCATGCCCCTGGTGGCACACTCTAATAATAAAATGATTAAACAAAGAAAAGAACATGCTGACAGCACCCTAGACTGACAGCACTCTAACAGCAGAAACAAAATCAAATCCAACAACAGGAGCTAATGGGATAGTATTCCTTTTTTTGCTATTCTTTCTTGATTCATCTCTGTAAAGAATTTCTTTTGGTATATCTCATCCCCTACACTCTTTATAATTTTAACATTAATAATGCCTTGTTTGTACCTCAAAAGAAAAGAAAAGGAAAAAATAGAAGAACCTTTCCATTTCCTAAGGTACTCTGGCCTTTGCTCAGAGAGGATAGGTTCCTGCAGATAAGAACCAAATACCCCAATTGATGTATGTTTTATGACTTTCTAGTTTCAGACTACTTAGAAACTCAGTCCAATGTGAGGTAATGTTAGTTTTGGATCTATATATTTAAGTTACAGAACAAACCCAGTCCAATGTGAGGTAATGCAAGGGGTGGTAGAAACCAATTGTATTGGGCTCAAATATAATTTATATTTTATTTTTCTGTTGGAGAGGTAGCATCTCGTGCCTCTCTAAGGGATGCTTGTAATGCTTTTCATATTTGATTAATAAATTTGAAGTTACTTGTCAAAAAAAAAAGTTACAAAAGTAACAGAACAAAGCAGTTTTGTTGTACTGTTTTTTTTTTTGGCACACCTATACAACTTTTTGACTCTCACATGGATTTGTCCATGTGAGGTACAGAATTGTGCTAGTCATATTGTATTCTTTTGGCACACTTGTACATTATTTTTTTGTTTACAACTATATGAACCACGTGCTGGTGCAACTAGAGAATTGGTTACTTTGCACATGTCTTTATCTTCCTTTAAGAATGGACAAATATGTATTTGTTGGGTAGAGATTTATAGATACATTTTGTTTTTCATGTCTATGTCATGGCATGTGTTAGTTAATCATTATTCCATCTTTCTTGTAAGGGAGGCAAATGTTTCTCTTTCTGACTCTTTCTTATTAGTTTGAATACAGACAAGGTGCAGCAGGTGATGAAATAGTTGAAGCATTAATTGCGAACAGCTCAACATTTGAGAAGAAAACATTGTTTTCTCAGGTCAGTTTGGTTTACAGAACTTAAAATTTTGATGTGCTACTTTATTAGAGATTTTTTGCTGATTTTTCGCTCAACCTACAGGAGAAATATAGACTTAGAAAGCAGAAGAAATATGCACCTAGGGTACTAATGAGGCGTCCTTTTGCTCGAAGGTGAAGTCTAGATTCCATTATTTTATTTAGTCTTCTTGCAAACTATATCAAGTTGATCATTATTTAAATGCAAACTTTGAAAGTTAAACTGGTAACCAAAGATAAGCATCTTTGATTTACATATCCAACTATAGAGCACTTCTTTGTGTTTCTCTTCTAATTTGTTGATTCATTTTCTGACATTTCCTAATCATGTGTATATGATGTTATGTTCGGTTGTTAATGATGGATCATATATTATCAACTTGTGACTGGCCTAGTTTGAAATTAAGATTTTAGTTAAAGATAATCTTTTTGATGGTAAAGTATAAAGTTGTATTGAAAAGGAGAGAAAACTAGTGTGAGCTTTGTGGCCTCCTGCAACACACAAATATACATAAACTCCACTTGCACTCCAAAGGAAGCCATAAACTGTGGCTCAAGCAAAACCAACAGCCTTTCCAATGACAGATAATGGTGGTTGGGTAGTACTTAGCTCGGGTTCAAAGATCAATAAAACAAGGAAACCAGATGAGAGAGCAATGTTTAAGGCTGTGCTGTTGCCTGTAGGTTGTAGGTACTTAGGACTGTCAAGGCTGAAAAAGTGTGAACTGGTAGGGAAATAAATATTAAACAGGGAAATTTAAGATAGTAGACTCTTCAGCTAGACAGTCGAATAATCTTTTTTATCCATACTAAAACCAAGGCATATGGAGGATTTTGACATGTTTTGATATGGAAAACTGAAGCTGAAAGCAAAGTAATGGGGTTGTGTCTCATGGAATATGGATCTTAATACCAGTCTGTATACCATATGCAGCAACAGCATGTGCTTTGTTTAGTAAGTTTGACCCTCTTTGGGAACCTGGGAAGAATATAACAGATCTGAACATTCCTGGACATGTATGTCAGCCACCTCTATGACATTCCTGGACACGTTAGATGATGTAATCAGTAGATAACAACTATCACTTGAGAGATGTTTTTTTTTGAGAAAAAGTTAACCAGATTTCATTAAATAGAACAAGGAGTACATGAGCAGATGTACTGAATAAAGGAAAGAGAACTTAAACAGCAGAAACGCAAAATTACAAGGGGGGAAGCCTGTTGCTGTATAAATTTTCTAAGTTTGCTCCAATTTTAGCTAATCCATCTGCAATTTGATTCAACTCCCTCGGTATCCACAACAGATTTACATTTAAATTTTCCAAGGAGTCTCTTGCCTCAGTCAGATAATGACTCAACCTCCAAGGACCCCCTTCCTTGTCTTTCAGCCATTTGATAGTATTAGCAGAGTCTCCAACAATGGATAATTTCTGAATGCCTAAACTTTTTATTATTCTGATACCAGTGAGTGCTGCCATCACTTCAGCCTTTGTTGAGTCTGTGTTACCTATTGGGCCACTGAAAGCCCAACAGATAAACCCCTGTTCATCCCTCAAAATACCACCTATTCCCAGCTTTGCCTGGATTGCCTGCAGCACTTCCATCGAAGTTTAGAATCATCCCTTCTTCAATATGTGGTATCTGTGTCTTTGGGTTAGTTGAGGGTAAGTTGGGAGAAGCAAGATCGTTTGGATATTTCTGTTAAGATCATTGAGAGAGAGGCCCTGAAACATCTCAGAATTAACAACCCAAAAATTACAACAAAAGAATATATCTGAAATTAATTCTTCTAGAGATCTGATTTTGTTTTCAAATATGCGCATGTTTCTTTCCTCCCAAATTCCCCACAATACTGCATGTACCACAATTTGCCAATACACTTTACCTCTTCTGCTCAAGCCTGACCCATGCCACTGATTGAGGAACTCCTGAATATGCTTTGGAGAGACCCTACTATATCCAGTCAGGTTTAAGAAATGCCACCAAATCTTTTAAGAAAAATTGCAATGAATGAGTAGATGATCTGCAGATTCCCCTTCTCTTAGGCAAAGCAAACATGCATGAGGAGAAATATATGACCTTCCCAGGCTTTTTTTCTGAAGAAGATCACATGTATTTATTCTCTATAGACATGCTTCCCAGACAAAGAAGCAAACTCTTAGAGGAATATGACTGCTCCATATCTTCTTGAAAGGGAAAGAGGAGATCTGATCACCTGCAATTAGAGCCTTAAACATAGATTTGGAAGAGAAACACCATTTGGGTTGAGGGTCCAAACTCAGGTGTCAATGGAATGAGGGGAGGTGTAGACTTCTTTTAAGGTGAGGAAGAGGTTTATGAGGTCTGAGATCTCAGTGTCCCTTAGAGATCTTTCAGGTTCAGGGTCAATTAATATCGGCAGGTAAAACTGGGATACAAGAGGAAACAGTTGAGTCTTGGTCTGTGGAGAGATTGAAGATTCCAGGGAAAGATTCTGCTAGAATGGTATTCCTCACCAGAGATCTTTCCAGAATTTTATTTTATTTCCATTTGCCACTTTAAGTCTAATGAAAGTAAGGAAAGAAGAGTGTGAAGAGATTATGCCTTTCCAAGGATTTGAATTCTTTACCTGGTTCAAATGAAGATTACTGTCCCACCCATTTGCATTTGTTCCATATTTACTAGAGATGACAGCTGCCCAAAGTGTATTGGATTCTACAGGGAATCTCCATAGCCATTTGCTCAAGAGAGAGGTGTTCTTCTCTTTCAAATGCCCAACTCCCAATCCTCCCTCCTCCTTCAACTTACACACTTGATCCCAACTTACCAAGTGGTTTCTATTCTCCCCTCCTCTATCCCAAAGAAAGTTTCTTTGGATTTTCTCTAAATAGTTTCTCACTTTAGGAGGAATTTTGAAGACAGAAAGATAATAAATTGGTAAGTTGGCTAGAGAGGCCTTTAGGAGAATCAGTCTACCCCCTTTTGATTGGTAGCAGTTTTTCCACGAAGCTAATTTCTTTTCAAACTTCTCCACCACTGGTCCCCAGAAGTTTAGTGTTCTTGGGTTGCCTCCAAGGGGCATTCCTAGATAGGAAATGGGGAGGTTTTCCACTTTATAGTTCAGAACATATTTGAAATTCTCTAGGAGGCTCTCTTCAACTGAATTCATGGGTACAATACTAGATTTGCTAAAATTGACCCTCAGCCTGGTAATTGATTCAAAGGCTTTGATCACCCTCTTCACATTGGAGATGTTTTCCAAGGATGCATCCAAGAATAGGATGATGTTGTCAGCAAATTGCAAGTGAGAAACCTGGACCATATCTCTTCCCACTTCAAAGCCCTTAACCGAACTTAGTAATTTGGCTTTGTCAAATAGAAAATTGAAGATGTCCATCACTAAGGTAAAGAGGAGAGGAGAGAGTGGACAGCCTTGTCTAAGCCCTCGACTAGCCTTAAAGTAGCCCTTAGACTCTCCATTTAGGAAAACTGAAAACCAAGATGAGCCAATGCATCCTTTGATCCATTTGATCCCATCTCTGCCGAATCCTCTCAGTCTCAAGCAGTTCAAGGTATTACTCCCAGTCAACTTTATTGTAGGCCCTTTCAAGGTCTAGCTTGACTAGAACCCCTGGATTCCCACGAGTCTATCTGTCTTCTACACATTCATTTGCAGTTAAAATACTATCCACAGTTTGTCTTCCTTTGACAAAGGCAAACTGATTTGGAGAGATCACATCTTGTAGCACTTCTTTCAGTCTTCTGCTAGGACTTTGGCCAAAATTTTATAAACACGCCCTACCAAACTTATTGGCTTAAAGTCCTTCACTTCCAAAATTCCCCCTTTCTTTGGGAACAAGCACAGAAAGGTTGAATTTGAGCCTTTATTTACTATGGCTGAGGAGTGGAACTCTCTAAAGAACATTAGAAGATCTTCCTTAACAATATCCCAACTTTTTTGGAAGAAAAATAAAGGGAAACCATCTGGGCTAGGTGCCCTGTCTCCTTCCATGCTAAAAACTGCCTCTTTGATTTCCACCTCTTCGAAACTTCTTTCCAACCAAACTTTCTTATCTACCGACAAAGTTGATCCTTCCCAAGTATTCAATCTGAAACTGCACATGCTATCCTTAGAATATAGGCTCTTAAAGTAGGAGAGGAAGTCTTCAGTTATTTCTTCTGAATTTTCCACTTCTCTTTGGTTCACTCTTATTTTGGAAATGAAGTTTTTCCTTCTTCTCCCCGAGGCATACACGTGGAAAAATCTGGAGTTATTATCTTCTTCTTTCAGCCACCTCACTCTAGATCTCTGCCTCCAGTAAATTTCCTCCTTTCGGCCACCTCACTCTAGAGCTTCGAGAACCCCCTATTTGCTAATGTTGTTCGTTCATTCATTGCAATAAAACATCTTCTTAAAAGGCAATGAAAGTTATAAAATCATTATTTTTTATGTGAGAAATAAGAATTTCAGACCCTAACATTGACTCGTTCGGGCTTGCCTTGAGGGGCGTGGTACAAAGGTGACTCATAGAATCAAGAATGCAATATGTTTT